AGTCATGTATTTTAAACATATTATTTATTGGATTTCATTAGAAGAAGAGAGCAAATTGAGCTCTTCAATTAAGTTATATTCAATAAAATATAATTATAATTAATTCTAAGCAAGACCCCTAATTAGGAAGACTGGTATTTCTTACATAAAATATATTTTTTTAGTTAAAAATTAGTTATATTTACTATTAGCACGTGATGAATACTTCAAGCAGTTAGGTCAACTATGTCTAAACCATCTACCATATAGGTATACGAATACCTTTTCCATTATAGTTTGTGATGTGTTTTACGGAAACTATTCCCATTCTTATAATTAGAATAATATTAAGGTTAAGGCAAATATAAATTAAAGTCTCTCTTTTTACAAATCGAACTTGAACTACTTTAACTACGAGTATATTAAGAGTTATTAAGAGTACATAAGCTTAAGGTCTATGTTATAATACATGAATTAATAAACTATTTATTTGTATTATTTCTAAAACTATATTTCTTTTAAGAATCCTATCAGTACTTTTATTAACAAATTTGCAACCGTTCTAATTATTTTTTACCTATATGTATGAATAAAGGCAGGCATGTATACTACATTATTGATATCAATATATTTATATATTTACATGAATGTATTTAAGTGAATTTTTACAAAAAATACATGCAATCATTTACAATGAATTAGTGATAAAATCAATAATGAAATTGCAGCTTATACATAGACGGAACAATATATGTTTATATCAAATGTTGCTAAAGCCATTTGCAATGTTTCTATACATGCATAACATGCATTATTAGGGTTTAAATGTTGCGAATGAAAAAACATTTGCAAATCGGTGGTAATGGGTTATATGAAGTCATGGGTTACAGCATATCTGATTTGTAGTTCTTTAAAGAACCAATATAATCTGAGTTTTATATCATTTATTATTTCAGAACTAGAAATGGTTATTAATAGGATTATGTCTAGATACAGTTTAGCAATGTTGTTAAGAGATTATTTATAATAACAATTTCTGAAATTTGATATATTTACATTTTTATTAATATAAATTAATATCTCTCTTTTTAGAAATCGAATCGGAACTGCTTTAACTACGAATATAATAAAAGTTGTTAATTATAATTATTTACATTATTTAAGTGAAACAGAGCGTAATATCTATTAAAGACACATTCGTTTTAAATTATTTATTAAAATCATTTGCTCTCATTCGGATTCGAACACGGAACTCAGTAGCAATGATCAGGGTTGCTAACCACTTGACTATTGAACTTTCTTATGTTGATATAAATATTTGAAGGTGAAGAAATTGTTTATAAAAGGCGAAATGAGATTATAAGAGAAGAACAAATCAGTTACTTGCAGAATCCTTAGTAAGAGTTAGAACAACAATATACACTCATTAATTAATTAAAAACAATATTTTTTTAATTTCGTATAAAAAAATTTAAATATATTTTTAAGAATTTACATTATACACTTCTTTAGTAGTACATAAAGATTTAAAGTTTGGATTTCTACCAGTTTTGCAACCTGAAGCTGCAGTACCACTAGTATAAATGGGCTTACCCAGAACATTTGTGTACGCATAATCGCAAGCAATAAACTGGTATGTGGTACCACTTTTAGTTTGGCGCAAAATGGCACAACCCATATGTGTTGCCTTCTCCTGGACTACTTGTGTGAAGTGACCAATTGCTTTACTGTAAGTTAGAAATATAAATGATTATTTTAAAAATTATAAAAATAATAAAAAAATCATAATAAAATACAATAAAAAAATTACCCATTTGTGGGACTCTTGTAACTGTTAATGTATGACATTGAACAATCCTTATATTCATTGTACCACAATTGTACATGTGAAACGGCAACAGATTGTACGGTTTTGGTAGTACCAGACCAGCCACTGTAGGCCAAGTTTTGACCAGCGAACTTAAATTTATCAGTATTACGACATTCATCATGGTTCATGACGCATTGCTTAACATTTAATTCAGCCAACTTGGCTAATTCTGCATCCCAAACTATAGTCGCCATACGTTTAGCGGCCTTATATCCATTTAATTTTCCAGATGCAATAGTATTCCTGAGGGTGTTATGTTTATTCAGCAAAGCTTTTTTTAATGCAGCTGTCATGGGCACGATTTTCGCATCGCTGGAACATGCCGATGCAAACGCCTTAATATATTCAAAATAAATTTTTATATAATATTATATTAGAACGGATTGTGAATGATAATTATGGAAAAGTTGTGCTTGTATGAAAAATGTAATGTTATTACAATAACAACTATGGCCTAAATTAAAAGAAATTTTCTATAATAAATTTGATTTTATTAAAACAATAATACTTTTGTAGTATCCGTAACAGTCCGAGAATTCACTGGATTAAAAATTGAGTTTTTGAATATAAAAATTTCTTCACTATTATTACTTTTCTATTGAATGATAGTTCTTTTATAGTAAGAGATTTCTTGTAATAGAAAACACGCGTTTGAAATAAAAAAATTAATAGAATTCCACACCATCATGATTTCTGAACCCTTTAAAGTACGGAGGAACATTATACATCAAGCTAAATGATATTGAATGAACAAAAATTGCTTACTGGCTAAATAAATCAATCGTTTTTGAGATGTTCGGAATAATTTTTATAAGTTTTTTCGAATATTCGACTCCTTGAGACCGTGTGTTTCAATAGGTACTCGTACTGATAATGGAATCTCACCAACCAAAGGCTTTTATATATTTTTTGGATCAAAAAACCAACATTCAAAGGTAAAGCACCTTAATACAAGATATCATGTATATTATACATAATATTCAACATTATTTAAATTTTGAGAACTTCATAGCATGAAATAAACTTTAAATAATATAAGATATAAGAATATACAATCAATATATAATATCAAGAGAATGATATTCTATTGTGCTCCTCAGTCCCAAAAGCAATAGAGCATCTTGATATTACAATGAAATATATCGAAAATTGTGTTATTTTTATATAAAATAATTAAAATTTAAATAAATCAGTAAGCACATATATATTATAGATTTCACTTACTCCGTTGTTATTGCAGGCAATATGCGTTGCACCGGATTTACATAATGTAGAACTGCAATAGTTAGTCGACAAAGTTAGTTCGATTAAAAGCGCGAAACTAAAAACGCCGATTAATTTTAAACACAGTGCTCTAGACATCTTTGAAAGTAATTAACTGATCTAATTCGATATTTGAGATGTTTATATACCAATTTTTCCTTCAAATAGAATACACCACAACACCACAAGTATTTATACAAGTGCTTCCAATAACAATAATTGTATACAATATTGTTTTATAATAATTAGTTTCTTAATTTTGGCCAAAAAAAGTAGATTATTATGTCGAAAACAAAAACATAGATTTATAGAAACATTGAAATCAAAGGTTTTGTGCGCGTTTTTTTTTCAAATGAAACATTTGGGAGCATAACGTTTTTCATAGTATCACGTACCCACACCACCCTTTCAGAATAATAGGATACTAACACTTTAACGCAGTTAAGTGCGTCATAATATTTTGATTATAATAATATATTTAATAAAATATTTATTAAAAACAAATTTGTTAAATTATTAAAACAATTGGTACACTTAAAAAAATATTAAAAACTTTTATTTATTATATTTTAAAATTATTAAGTGCGATTGAATTATTTAAGTTTTAGAAAATTAAGAAAATAATGGATAGCATTTAATCTTCTCCCTTGACCTAATAGTTCTTAAAATACTTCAGCCAATCATATAATAGCCGCCCGTTCTGGCTGTTTTTTTTTCAACCTTTTCAACTCCACCTATCTATTTTATTTATTACCGACTGATTCTTCTAAACCCTCGTTAGTCGTTGTACTTTGTGCTTTGTCCTCCTGTATTCTTCATTCTTCACGTAATAATGGTATAATGATATAATGGTATCCCCATTCATCAACTAATAAGTTATTATTAAACGTATACTATCACGACTAATAATTTAACATGGGAAATTTGTTGATAGTATAGATAAATAATTTTTTTTTATCAAGATTGGCATATAGTATATACAGTGTGAAACACAATTGAACTCCAGGGAACTTAAGGGCGATAGATGTGTCAAACCGATTACATTGTTAACTCGTAAAAGAGTGCGATAGATTACACGAAAAAAAAATTTAATTTTATCCGGGATGGAATTCATGTGTGATAATGTGGTTACCTTACATCTGATAGGAAAACTACAAGTTGGTATTTTTAAAGACCTGTAATACGTAAACATAAATAAATAGGTTGTGTCTGTTTTCGTAATACGAGTAGCTTTGCAAAACTTTATGGTAAGGGTCGAAAGAGACGTGTCACATCAGTAAAAATGGTCCTAAAAGTAAAAAACGGAATTACATGAAATTTATGTATATATAAATCTATATATATAAAAATATATACATATATATGTATATACGTATATTTATATAGGAGTTCGACTCCCTTCAATTAGATATGAATAAAGCATTTTGATTTCACATTTCTTTAAATTGTGGATATTAATAAATGTAAGCATCTTGATCTTTTCAATACAGAAGATACAAATTCATACTTAAAATTTTTGTTTTTAAAATTATGGGATGTTCATAAAAAATAACTGCAAAAGATTTTAACACCTGTAAATAATTAAAGAAATAATAATTTATTTCCGAAAAATACGCAGGGATCGTCGCTGAGTCGATTTAAATATATTTTTCATAATTCAGAACCTTACTGTCATTATGAAAAACTTTAAACATGACATCGCGAAGTAGATTATCCTGAAATAGATTAAAGTATGGGCGCTTTTCTCTTTAATTTACCCTCAAGCGTTATTATATCATCTAACCCATGCATTAATAATAAACTCGATGTATTTTTAGGCATATCTATGGATTGTAGTATACAGAGTGACAATAAAATTAATTTCAATCATTTATAATCTATTTTAGAGTAATGCCTTATAAAATTAATAAAGCTACATTTGTAGGAAATATCTGGATAACACTAAAAACAATTTGAAGAGAGCTTACAACCTACACAATGTATCAGCGTTGTGTTATCATCACTGGACGCTTATATCCATTAAATTGTGTTATTAAATATTCACAGATAAACCATTTACACTAGTTGCCATATGTAAGTATTATAATTATTTACATAGCTTATGATGTTTCATTAGGTGCCCTTCCGTAATCATTTGTAGGTGAGCGAACAGGTTTGGACTTAATTAGATTATTTGAAGACTGATATAAAGATGATGTCACCGACATTTTTATGGTTTTAAAACTAACGAAGACGTGAAATGTTGCAACGTAACCAATTGCAGCCTATAAAGAAAACGCCTGTGACGTGACCCCAGATATATAAACCTATAAAGTGGTACAATTATAGTATTTCCATCTTATATATATACTCAATACCATTTATTCAGGTATGTTGACAAACTGAACCGAAGCTATAGAGACATTTATGAATTATATCCTAGATAATTCAAAAGTTTGAATTATTCTACATAATTTTCTCGTTCACATTTTATTAATGTATGCATGTAAGTATGGTTTGTATATAAATCATATACACATTGATTGCACTTATGCGTCTGATAATGTGTTGACATCATATGATTCAGCGGTGGAGCATAAATTCTTATAATTTTTATTGCGTCCTGTGGTGCAGCTTGATGCTACAGTCCCACTATTATAAACGGCCTGATCCAGTACATTAGTGTATGCATAATTGCAAGCAATGAATTGATAACTAAATCTTCCTTTTTGTTGGCGTAAAATACCACAGCCCAAATGTGTAGCTTTCTCTTGAACCATTTGTGTGAAATGTCCAATCTTTTTACTAAAAATATAATTATACAATATTTTCAAGTAAAAAACTGCAGAAATTTGAGTTTGCAAAATACACACCCATTTGTTGGATTTGAATAGCTATTAATATAACTCATAGAAGCATCTTTATATTCATCGAACCACATCTGTATGTGTTGCATTGCAAGAGATCGCACCGTTTTAGTAGTACCATACCAAGCTGAATTTGCCAAATTCTGTCCGGCATATTTAAAACTATTGGTGCTTCGACACTGGTCATGTTTCATCACGCACTGCTTTACATTTAACACAGCTAATTTAGCTAATTCATTATTCCAACGCACTGTCGCCATACGTGTGGCAGCTCGATATCCCGATATACTACCACCGGCAACCTGATTCCGTAACTGATTATGTTTTTTAACTATAGCGTTACGGAGGTTTCTTGATATTGGCATTATTTTCACATTACTTCCACATGCTGAACTAAAAGCCTGCAATACGAAATAAGGAATAACCATCAAAATGTACACCCATTTTTATGAGTTTTGGTACAGAACCTACACCATTATTTCCACATGCAATATGTTTTTTTCCTCTACAAAGTGATGAACTGCAATAATTTGTTTGTGAATATATTTCTCTTGCAAGGAAAAATATTAGAAATAGACGAATTACAACCGCTTTCATTTTACTTTAAATTAGAACTAACCAGATTAAAGCCTAACAAAAGGCAAAAACGTGAAGAATCTTTTATTTAAACAACTGCGATTATATTTTAAACAATTTAACTGCTTTTCATTTATAAGATTTTATAAGCTTTTTATATACATAAGACAACGTATTTACGTACATTACACGTTCGTTTCTACGTATATGAAATATTGACTTTCATAAATCTTCAATAGTAAACATTAAATAAAAATATATATATACATATATATTTATATATATGAAGAAAATGGGTAATAGCGAGAAAATTTTATGTCTGAGAAGTGTTTTTTAATATTTAATCATGGTTTAATCCTATAACTGTTTCGGATACCATCAGATATCCACCAACAGTGGTATTTGGAAACAACTATTATGTCCTCGGACTTTTACTTGAGGATCTTGAGAATCCTTTAACATTTAAAGAAAAGAAACGGTATGATACGAAGACAAAACAAAGTATTTTCCATCAGGAAATTCCAATTTCGACACTATTCATCTCTATATTAATAAATTGTGTATTTGAATACTCAATGAACTACTTTAAACATAATTCTTACAGCAACCAAGTTGGCCCGAATTTTATTTACCAACTCATTTTAAAATAAAAAAACAAATTAACGACTACGGAGAATGTTCGCATATGGATTGAAAAATGAAAACTTATTAATGTCACATTTTATTAACATGATTAATATTCGATATACTATTACCAAAATCAAATTTATTTAATTTAAATATATACATATCTTTAAAAAATACTTCATATCTAATTGCATTTTTTTAATTTCAACCTTTGTCAAGATTTTGTGATGAGTTACAGACCATTTATTGATTGTGCCCACAATTTGTTCAGCCACGACATCTCAATTCAGTACGCGTATTTATGATTCCATTTGTTCCTTCCACTTGTTTGGCTACAGTAGTTATTAGAAATATGATACCCTACAGCTCTGGAAATCTTCAATATAACTAAGTTGAATTCACAAATACAATATCTCTATTTGAACACGCTAGTTTAGGAGATGGTTATGACGAATCCCTAGCGGAGGTAGTTGTTGCAGTAGAGTTAAGGTTACTTACTGGAGATACAGTAGTGGCAGATGCTGGACTTGTGGTTACCGAACCAATAGTTGTTGTTGCATTTCTTACTGGTTCTGTGCTCTCTGCACCTTTAGTTGTTGCAGAGGTTGAAGATGATACAGTAGAAACTACAGGTAGAATATTTTTATTTGCACTCAATGGTTTGGGAAACGGTTGTGGTGAATTGATATCGGATGTAGTTGTTGCAGTAGAGTTAAGGTTACTTACTGGAGATACAGTAGTGGCAGATGCTGGACTTATGGTTACCGAACCAATAGTTGTTGTTGCATTTCTTACTGGTTCTGTGCTCTCTGCAGCTCTAGTTGTAGCAGTGGTTGAAGGTGATACAGTAGAAATTACAGGTAGAATATTTTTATTTGCACTCAATGGTTTGGGAGACGGTTGTGGTGAATCGATATCGGATGTAGTTGTTGCCGTAGAGTTAAGGTTACTTACTGGAGATACAGTAGTGGCAGATGCTGGACTTGTGGTTACCGAACCAATAGTTGTTGTCGCATTTCTTACTGGTTCTGTGCTCTCTGCACCTTTAGT